TAGTAAGGCCAGGAGCCCCTAGCAGCTTCTTGCTACCAGTAGCGATGCCAGGAGACCCTAGTAGCGTCCTTGCTGCTAGTAGTAAGGCCAGGAGCCCCTAGCAGCTTCTTGCTACCAGTAGCGGTTCCTTTTGTTACTATAGTAGCGATGCCCTTGTTACTAGGCTATATATAGGGATCTGGTCGGTCGTAGCAAACCTCAGCTTTGATGTGTTCGACGCTGTGGACAAAAAAGGATGGTTTGGAGGGTGTAGTCGTACACAACCTGAGAAAGTACGACGATTGGATGGTTTGGGAAAGCATAGGGGATGTCTCGCAAGAGCAGATGGTCGCCCCTGCGTCACCGGATATAGTCTTTTAGGCCAGGTTTGCAAAGGAGTCTTTTTCAGTCCTTTCGGGTCAAGTTGACGTGCACTCTCGAACTTAAAGACTTGGTTCACGACTTTTGATATCAAAAACATTCCAAAAACAGTGGGTCCGGAGGATGTCCTGTAGGGTCCGGAGGATGTCCAAGTGGGCCCGGAGGATGTCCTGTAAAAACACATGCCTGGATTGTAAGTCCCTTGACTGACAGCCAGTTCTGCTTGCAACTATCGTGACCTATCGATCTGTAAAAAGATCGCTCACAAACCCTTGCGTTGGGGAATGCACGGGTGTTCATTCAGATGGTGCTGGCCTATATTTCCCTTAAAGATCTTAAAGCTGACTCAAATATCATCAAAATTGCCCACATGCAATTCATGCAATCAAATGCTGCCATGGGCTGTGCCCATGGTCTTCACTTCCTTCAAACCGCGCCTGAAGCGCTGATGCATCCGCTCCCAAGCCTCCCAAGGCAACACTCTGAAGTCGCCCAACGCGGTCGCCACAGCGGGCCCAGGTGCGGGTGCCCCGGATGGGGCGGCCTCGATGCAGCGGACATGGTTGGAGGGCGACCGCAGTCGTTTTTCCAATGCAACAGGTGAGGCATGAAGCACGCAGAATGTCACAGATGTCCGTGATGCCCACAGGCAACATGGAAGTAACGATGTCCATCTCTATGAGCTTTGGAAACAAGTCATGGCGTGATAGTGGCGTGGGGATAGGGGGCCCAAAAAAATGATTGGTTTGGAAGAGAATCATGGTACACTGTTTGGTCCACAAAGTCAAAAGATGGGGCCATTGTTTTGGACCTCTCTGAAAATCATAGAACAAGCTCCCTGACCCAAATCCAGGGCGACCGTCCAGTGGTTGAAATCCATCAACATGCGCCAAGTCGATCACGAAGCCTAAGGACTATGTATTCGTTTCATCTGGAAGAGCCATAGTCGAAATAGATTCCTGGCTTTTTCTCTCCATGGGCCTCAGCCCAAATTCCGCTGATGGCTATGCCAACCGGCACGGAAATGGGAAGCTTGGCCCGTGGCCCTCTTCAAATTTCCCAACACTCACGAACTCGCTGAGGTTCGTGCGGCCATCCTCCGAAGGAGGTACCCGGCCGACTGAAGCACCTTCTTCCGGCTTCTGCCGCAAGGAGCTGCAGCAAGCCCGTGACCGGCTACTGCAGTGTGGCAAACTTCTACTACTTCAAATTTCCCAACAATATGCATGGGCAGCTGACTACGCAAGCAACCAATTGCTCGCTCCATTCAAAACCGTTCGTTGGTTTCATGTACACAACTTCGACCAGCGGGCCAGCTGATTTGGAAGACGACCAGTTACTGTCAGAAGAAGCTGCGACGCCACATCTACAGAATCGAGGGCAGGGATTCAAAATCCATCAAAATCCTGCTGTTCTCCAAAAAGCACGATTGGCCGCTGGTCACAATGCACACGGGATGAATCGTTCTCTTCACGATTGAACCGCTGGTCACGTCGCACATGTGTCCCTGCGACCACCTGGGACTCTCCCCGCTGCGCTGTGAGGTGATGAGGGGTGTGTGCACAGATGTCCGTGGGTATGGAAGGTTTAATATGGAGGAACGTGGCCTGCCGAAGGGGAACGAAACCCATTCGTTCCTCGTTCGTACGACAAGACGCCGCAGTGATCGACTGATTCCTGGCTCCCCCTGCTGGCAATACCCAAAGCATGGGCACGGCACTATAACTGCACCATGCTGTGGCGCCAGCCAAACGCACAAGGGCGATATAGCGCCGCGGGCCGCGAGGCACCGGCACCGTCTTGGTATATATGTGGATTCCGGGGCCCCCATCTTGAAACCGCGGGGTTAGTTGGTTGGTTGGTTAGTTACAGTAGTTAGTCAGTTCATTCATTCCCCCGCATGTTTCGCTTCCGCGCCACAGAAGTGACTTGACAAACAGGAGAAGAATCAAAAGGCCTAGGCCTAGGCCTATCATCGTGGGACAGAAGACCGACCCGCGGAGTCGCCTGATCAAACTCATGCTTGCTTTTTCATGGAATTCTACTCGCCTGAGATTGTGAACCTACCTTGACCAAGTACACTCCCCTAAGCTGCAACACATCTGCTTTCATAGTGTCAACAGGTACCAACCATAGAAGAAACATCTTGCAACTCATCTGAAATCGTTGTGCTTTTCTCCTGGAATGATTTCGCAAAATCCAACCAACCCAGCTCACCTCCATCCTCCCTGGGCCTCCACTTCCGGCACTTTCTGTGCCGCGAAGCGCGCGTGGAGTGTCTGCCAGGCCGCCGCCGGCAGCGTGCGGAAGTCGCCCTGGAGGGCGCTGACGCCCTCCTGCGGTCGTGGTCCGTGCCCACTAGAACGGGGTAGCTACTGTGGCTTCAGAATAGATGGCACATGATGGCACAATCCCCCCAGTTTGGTGCTTTTCTGGAACCCCTATCTAAAGGACATGGGGTGCCAGTGCCATCTGAAAGGAGTGGCTGAAAAGGGGCCAATGTAGGCATATATGGCAGTCCCATGGAGTGTCTGGGACTGGTTGGTGGTTTCAACTCAATCTTCTAACAGATTGGTCAGTGGGTTCAATCATACCAGGTAAAGGTGGAAAACACACATATCTGAACCACTAGATATCCAGCGAAGTAAAGCACTGATTAATGTGCAAGAATATATAGCATATCTATCTACATTGGGGTGGTCGAAAAGGGTCAATGTATAGTCATACATGAAGTGTCTGGGTTTGGGCCCAAAAAGTAGAAAACGAGCTCCGGATCCAGGGTTTGAGGTGATATACAGTATCACTTGGGGGTGGCGGGCTTTCCGGGGTGCAAAGTCGAAGATAAGGAGAACGCAACTGGAGCCAGTCCAAAGTCAATAGACTAGTCTACACACCCAAATGCCGAGTATGTCATGTGTGTAGATCCCAAAACATCAACCCTCCACAAATGCACTGAACATTATAGTTTAATAATGAATTCATACCGGCACCTTCAAAGAGGTCACCAATGGAAGCGCCTACACTACTAAGAGACCTCCATTGCATACCCCTTGAAGGTCCAGGTATATTGTATCTATTTGACCTCCAAAAGCTGGTGTCAACAGGTGGACCATTGCGTAAAAAGACTCGGGGGCCCCGTCTCTCGCTTGCTGTGTGTCACCTCTTTTACAGGGCATCACACATCAGAAGTGGGGACCAACTCAGGAGGGTTGGGCTTGGGGTGGCTTGGGGTGGCTTGGGGTTCCAAGCTGCAGTGGACCAACTCAGGTGGTCCAGAGAGCAGCAGCGCACCAGCAGACCGACTGGACCGGGTCTAACCGCCGCGAGGCACTTAGAAGGGTCCAACGCCCCGAGTGCGGACGATCCGAGTGCGGCACTGGGGTTTTCTCTTTCCGCGACGTTCTGAAGAAACCGTGCTCCCCCGCAAACGGAAACATCGGAAACCAGCACCCCAAAACAACAGGGCCGTGCTCCTGATCGGAGGAGAGTTTCGGCATCACCTGTCGCGCGCGCGCGAGAGTAGAGCCCACCAGAGTTGGGCTTTCGCTAGTGGCATGGCCGGGTTGAACTTTCTGCGGCGGAGGGTTTGATGGATTTGGGGAAGGTCATTCTGTGCACTGCAGAAGGTGTGTGAACAAAATCCCCAAAAACACACAGTTGGTGGTAGCTCAGGGTCCTTTTTGAGGTCACTTCACCTCTCTTGGTGAACTTCTCGCAGCAAGAGCCATGGAATTGGGGACTGCCCTGATCCGGATATGGGAGAGGTCAAAAGTACCTCTGAACATGTGAGAGGAGAACACACGGCCGGTGGTAGCTGTCGTTGTTGGATCCTGTGTGTGTTTTTCCCGACCGAAAGGCACTTGTGTCTGTGAAGCCAGTGTCTTGTTTCTTTCGCTCAGAGTCATGACTCATCATGACTCTCACCACTTCCCGTCCCAAGAAGTCTGTGACAATCATGCACATCCAAGATCCTTCTGCCCCTCTGCGTCTCGACAGTGCTTTAACACCCTTCTGAACTGCGTCGGAAACTGCCAAGTCGGCCCAGTCTCTCGACCTGTCCCCCAAGTCTCTGTCCCAAGCCATTCATTGGCCAACTGGGATTTAACACTTCCCAAATTGGTGGACCCTTGCAGGTCAAATCCCTCCCTGCATATGATCAGGTCTCCCAAAAACTAACCAAAACTAAAAATGCTTCAATGATATTGTTGGGTCGCTTTCGGTAAACATGTTCAACGGATTTCAACAGCATGTCCCAAACACTTGAATGTAGAATGTTTACCTACAGTACATTGACCCCTTCTCAAGACCCCTTTTCAATCACCTAGTATAAGCAAAACAGAAACCCTAGGCTCCAAGTACCTCCCCAGAAGGTATTTGGACCCTCTAAACCCACCCCACACCTTCTTAGAAGGTCCTTGGAGCCCTAGGGAAAGGTCAGATTTGGGGTGTTGCGATTGATGTCGTCTTTCATTTGTCTTCTACTCACGGTCCCGGGCGTTTTTTCCCTGACTTCGCCTTGGCAGCCCTCAGGAGCTCCTGCGGGCTGGGGTCACACACTTCCCAAAAACCCTTAGAACTCCGGTCGTACCTTCTGGGAAAGGTGGCTGGGGTGAGTTTGGAGGGTCCAGTCATACCCTCCTCTGGAGGTCTCCCTCAAAGCGAGGTACGGAACGATTGGAGCCTTAGGATGTTTGGGGCTGGCTGGGCCGAAGCGACAAGCAAGGCCCGGTGCACGATCGTCCGGCGGCTTGGTCATGCTGGGGCCATTGGGTGGGTCGACCGTTGTTGCCACAAAGGACACTGGGAGGGGATGAGGGGGACATCCCCAACAACATGTTGATCGTTGACTTGCTTGCTTGCTTGCCAAATGCATCACTTAGAGATCCTGGTAACTCCCAACTTGCTGGTAACAACAAATCCTGACTCATCATAGGCAGCGTGTTACAATATGCGATACATCACCTGGTTCTTCTGTGCCAATGAAAATCAGAAAGCCGGGACAATTCTTCCTTCAGGTCCTACCTGTTAGCAGACCTGCCTGCCTTAGCATCCTTCCCCTGGGTGGGGGATCAATTCCTTCCCGGCCTTCCCTGACCGCGGCTGAGCAGCCGATCGTCCGGCGCTGAGCTCGCCCGAAACGACTCCCTAGTAGCGTCCTTGCTCCTAGTAGCGATGCCCTTTGTTACCAGCTAATTGCTGCTAGTAGTAAGGCCAGGAGCCACTAGTCGCCAAAAGATAAAATGCTGAAGATCAAGAGTTCCAATCCAAGGATCGTCGATGTTCAGACCCAAAGTCGAGAGGATTCTGGTGCACCCGTGTTTGTTTTTCTCTCCGTTATTGTAACTCCCCCATGACTGGAAACTCGTAACCATTCTTTTGCACCACCAAACAAACATCGTAACAAGAACTGGCTTAGCGGATTCGAAAAGAAATCCCTCGAAAAGTATCCTCTTCATCGTCCTCGTCACCCGTACGTGCACCGTCACAAAATGTGCGCACAAACACGTGTGCGGGGACGCCTCTCGGCGAGCTTCAGCTTGAGCCTCCTCCTGTCAAGGGTGGGAGCTCGACTATCCAGAGGCTCATGGACCAGAAGTACCAAAAACTTTGAGCACCTCAAGCGACCCAGTTTCCTTCAACAATGGGTCCCTGCAAAGGTTCCGCAAGGTGCTTTGGGTTCGGAGCATCCTTGTGCCTGCAGGATGTCTGAGTGGTAAGTCTGGACTTTGCTGATTGAAACACCAGCAGTCAACCAGGGATGTCAAGGGGTGGCATGTCCCATAGCCTTACATGAAATATCACTACCGTCATGTATGTATCAATGCATACTATGAAATCAAGTGTATTGTTCATTGATCCTATGATCCAATCTTGATAGACACCTCTGCACATGGCGGCCAGCACTGTGCGCAATGCACGGATTGTAATGGAATTGACACATCCTGGCACTTCTCCCTCATCGGTCAGTATCTCATCGCCTCCAATCTCATCCTCTCCTCCTGAGCACGTTCGGTCTCCGCCTGCCGAAGAACGGTCGAAGGCAGCAGAAGACGGTCGAAAAGGCCTGTGGTCTAAAGACCCACAGCTCCAGGAAAACCTGATCACTATAGTAGGTTACTTGTCCATTAATTAAGATCCATTTAGACGATCTATTTAAGGTATTATTGAAACGTGGCAACTACACTACATTGGATTGTTTTGGGTGGCTTATCCAGCAATGGTGTTGAGCGGCAAAAAGTCGCTGCAGCACCACGCAGTTCTCTGATGAAAGCTGACAGGTCACCCGCTGCAACTTTTAGGACAAAAATCCTCGGCCAACCTGCATCATGATCGCTATAGTGACTGATTGGTTGAGATAGGTTTGAATGTCAATGGCTCCGCAGCATGGGAGTTGGTCATGGTCATGACACCGCAGCCCCAGCTCAACTCCCTAACTCCCTTCTGCTTTGCGCAAAAATTCCGGAGTAGTAGATATGTTTTAACTATGTTTAACTCAGAAACGACCAAACACGTCTGAGACACGGCGCACGTCCAGGAGATTTGGGACCCCAAATTAAATTGTGATGTTCATCTTCGCGTACTTCGTACTTCCATCTTTCCTGGCTTTCATCGATCTGGGTCGATCTGGATCGGAATCCAAAAAACATCAAAAAACAAAAGCACCCTTGCATTCCCTTGGGGATCCAAGTACCTTCTCAGAAGGTATTTGAAATCCTCCAAACCTACATAACAGTGTCTCAAATCACCTGCTGAGAAGGTACTTGGATCCGTAGGGATTGATGGCCGCACCAAAAAAACAAACAACACCAATACATCCCCAAAGACCCCAAAAAACGACGCTGGCACCGGCACGTTCTCAAGAATGCTGTCTGACCCTGACCCGAACGCGTCACGCGGAGCCTGGAGCTGCGAAAGCTGCTGCTCGAAGACTTCGCGCTGCTGCGACAAGCGCTTCTGGCAAGCGATTTCGACGGTGAAGCGAACGTAGAGCGGAGGTCAAGGACGGTAGGGAGCGGTGGGAGGTGGACTTGGGTCCAAGCGCTGCACCAAATACATCCACATATCATCAAATAATCCAATAACTTGGCATGCGATGGAACTCAGATCTGGCCTTTCCCTGGGAGAAATCATGGCCCCCTCGTGACATGGCCCCGGGAAGAAACCATGAGAAACAGGGGGACACTGGGAAACTCTACGAAAGCATGTCTGTTGCAGGGAGGGTGTTCTATCAATTGCTCCTCCACTTCGAAGAGCTGGCGGGCTTCTTTTTGCACCAGTTCACTAAGGACTGGTCGCCACCCAGGATTGTCCCGTGGGTACTGAAGAAAGAGACAGTTGAAATTGGAGTCTCCCAAACTGGTGGCGAGAAGGATGGAACAGAATACATGCCTATTGTACATTGACCCCCCCAAATCCACCCCAATGCAGGTAAATGTGTCAGTCCCATGGATGGTCTGGGAATGAAGCCAGGATGATGCTCGCTTGAACACTTGCCGCCCCAAGCTCAGTCAGGTCAAAAACCTACTGCCCTTCCGGGCCCTTCCCCTCAAACAGGTAGTGGGAACCCTGCGCTGGTGCCCTTCTTTTCTTGCGCCGGTCCCTGCATTGGCGGAGTACCATGGGACCGGTCATGCAGCATAGCTCTTCCAAGGTGTTGACTACACTGAGGATTCTTCCATCAGGCTATGGCAGTTCTGCGTGTTGGATGCAAGAGCCAGGCAAATTGATTGACTGCTGGAAGGACAAACAAACACCCTTTTTGTTGAGTCATCTGATAAACCATGATAAACCACTAATTGACCCTGGCCCTACTATACCACTAATTGACCTCTAGCCCTGCTATACCTAAATGACAGTCGACCCATGGCTCGAACTTCTGCATCACCGGCCTCCTCCCATTCTCTGAACCCACCGAGCTCGCAGCTCGGTGGCACGTGGAGTGAGGCTGTGAGGTGGCTTCTGCTAGGCAAAGATGCCAAAGACTGGGCCAGAATCAGCTTCCGTGAGTTCACCTGGTACCAGGGGCCTTCAAAACCATGCAAAAAAATGGTTCACCTGGTAGAAGTTACTGGTTGATACTGATACCAGTGGACGTGGACGTTCTTATTCGTCCCCACTCAACTATCCTGCCATCGGGGGTGCCAATCGACTATGCATGCGTGCCATGGACACGATGCTGTCCCTGGTTCTTGTTCGACATCCGCAGCACCTCCCTGAGATTGATGTGATCAAAAGCCTCCCGGAGATTGATGGAGGGTCAACAGAATATCAGAAGCACATTATGTATACCAGCCAAGCTGGACACTGACGAATCCTGGCTGCTACCCACTGTACACACATATAACAACATGTCCACCCAAGTCCATGGAACATTGTGCCATTGCAATTGAATTTTGGTTTGTCCTTGCACCTCTGCGCACATGTTCCAGCTGCTGTTTGTGTTCTGGAGAGCACAAAGAACAGCGCAGCTCTTTTGGCCACGGACAACAGCTGCCTTCAGACTTCTGGTAAGTGCACATCTATTTTAAGGGCGTGTCCACAATCTCTGCATTGAAGGCCAGCCTGCACCCCTGAAGTATTCCTGAAACATTGCACACGTATATCACAATATCCCAAATGATCCCAAATGTAACAAGATCTTGGAATTTGGGGGTTTCTCTTGGCTCCAAGGTCTCTCATGAGCCCCAACCACATCTCACCAACACTCACTCCGTCCGGGGCCGTTTCGGCTCGGGCTCCACCGGAGCGTCCGCCGGCGCGTCCGCCGGCGCGTCCGCCGGCGCGTCCGCCGTCTCCGCGGCGGACGCGTCGGTGAGCAGCAGCGTCTCGGCAGCACGGTCCACGGAAGAGTACCTGCCGAGCGAAACGTCCCGCTGCTGCGCGAGCGGAGGCGGCGGTGCCCAGAAGAGTCTTCGATCTTCAATGACTCCCTGCGTGTGGTTGGGCGGTGTTGGGCGTGCGGATACGGGGCGGATCCTGAGAAGTCCTGACAATTGTCCACACATGTCCACACCAATGGTGATCCTGAAAGCCTGTTTTCGCATGATCTGCCGCCCTTGATTGCCGCGAGTGGGCATGAACAGGTGCCAACATGTTGCCAATCTTTTGGCGGGATTCCAGTTTGGAACATGTTGGCAAACAACATTGAAACAAACTGATATTGCAAACAACATGTTGTCACGTTGTCAATCCATTTGTGGGAAACAACATTGAAATTGCCTCACCAACACTCTTTCGCCCTGGTAGTTCGAAGATTTTCTCCAAGCAAGTCCCATGCTTTTGGAACATTGTGGCCAAAATTCTCGATCAAAACTCTGCTCTTGGACCCTTGGACTTTCAAAGGCATTTGCCATTGCTATGTAGAGGTAAACACCTCGACATCCTTGTGCCTTAATGAACAAACGAGTTTTAAATGCTTTCAATACAAAGTTCTTTACCCCAGCTGTCATTAACTCAGAAGATTGCCTTCCGCTTCCTTGACCGGGTGTTTCTTAGACAAACCCTGCAAAAGCTGACCTTCTATCGTGACTGTCTCCTTGTGACTACTGCCTTGGCGAAGCCAAAAAGGTGGCTGGCTGCCATGACTCAAAACATGGACACCTACAGGTCACACACCGCTGGTGATGTGGGCCAACCCAGGTCGAACCAGGACCTAAGCACGTATGCCTCCAGCAAATAGTTGAAAAAAAGGACCTACTTAAGTGATCATAAGTGATCATAAGTGATCATAAGTGATCATAAGTTCATAAACCGCCAGCACATCTGCCAAAAACGAGTTCTATCCCATCAGTTCTACCCCCCCCCTGCAGTTCTCCCTTCCAGTTCTGCGCACCTCTGCAGTGCAGCGCGACAGTCCGCTTCACCTGAACGGCCCGCGACTCGACGGTGCGGGTCTTTCGTCGCCGCATCGACCGAACCGAGACGGGATGAAGGGCGGCTTGGGCACTGCGAGCATCAAGGAGAATTGGCTTGGAACATCGTTTTTGCGGACAATGCACTGCTAGCATTTAAGAACATCGACAGAAGCGGAATGCAACAAGTAAATCGATCGCAAAGAAGAACCTAGCTCCCACACACCTCCATCCTAGACTCGACCAACAACCAACAACAACTGCAGGTGTTAACAGCCCTCTAAAGCCGATGACAGCTAGTGATTTCGAGACCACGCATGGATTCCCCATAATCATATTGTTCGAATGTGTTTCTCATTCCAAGTTCTTTTGGAGTCCGGACATCGAGCAAAGAGAACCCCGGATTCTGCAGAAGTGACACCCTATAATTCATAAGATTTCGCTATTCATTGAGGAAGTGTGTGTTTTTTACAATCTATATTCATCTATATGTCGCTATATTCTTATTCATTGCATGCGTGGATCGTTTCATTTTTGGCAGCTAACATCTCTGCGGTACGCCAGGGCACTACGCCCGGTACAGGCCATGAGCATCTGAAGGCTCTCCTCATTGACCGGTCGCACCTGGCTGCTGCTGGCGCCCGAAGCCTCCTTGGCTCGCAGCTGAAGAGGGTTTAGGGTTTAGGGTGAGGCCGTAGGAATTGGACCAAAACCACCCAAAAGCAGGTTGCTGCACCATGCTGTACCACTAGCAAGTGGTTAGAACATGTTAGAACCCTGATCTTCCGGTTGCAAAGGGCGCAACTGTCACCTCCGCAGGTGTTGTTCCCTCCACAGCTATAGAGTCAAGCTGGGAAGTGATGAATGGAAAGCCTGCCTTTTTGGATGCTCCCAGATCGCCCGGGTGTCGTGTGAGCAAAACGAGCATGAAAACCGACGAAACGACCAGACCTGAAGACCCCAGACACACTCGTGGGTGGAACGGAACCAAGTTGTTGCAGGGTAAGGTCCAAACTGTCCAACACTTCACAATATGCTATAGCATTAAATAAGCACCCCAAGTCGCATCCAACACCGAGTTCGGTTCCCTCTCTCCCAGCCCACCTCGCTGGTGTGCGGTTTCTCAGTCTCGCCAGCACGAGTTCGGTGTTCCGCCAGGTGGCGTCCTGTGCGTCCAGGTCGTCCATGAGACGGGCCGCCGCGGCCTCCAAGCGCGCCAAGCCGCCGCCCTCTTCCTCCCTCAGCCGGAGGCGAACACGGTGGGAAGCGTTGAAGAGCACACCGCATGCAAATGATTCATATATAGACCCCGGAACTTTAAAACAAAATGACAAGTAAGTAGTGGTCTACGGTATAATTTATATATGCATTTAACTGTATGGCGCCAGGCGAACTGGATGGCCTGATATCGCTCCATGTGGGTCCAAGAACTCCATCGCTCCATCGGTCGACCCGAACACGTCGACGCCCAGGCACATCAAGGCAGCGACGCAGCGATCTCTTGGTTGTCCTCGCCGGTGGGGGTGGGGAGCGCACAGGGTGGAGCACGGGGGGAACTGTTTTGATGGGAGGTTCTTTCAATGACTTGGAGGGTCAAACGAGGTCCATTCTCTTTGGAGATTCTGGAACGAAATGATACCTCACACCTCTGGAAATTGAAATTCAGATGGGTGGCAGGTTCATGAACGGACGGCTGTACTTCTCCGAAGTTTCTCGGGCGATTCTGTCAGTCTGACTCCGTCCTATCACCTTTGATCCAATTAAAACAACAAGTCAATATAGACTGAAGAAATAATTATCTTCCATTCCAGGGTTTGAAGAATGTCACTGTCTGCCCTTGCCTTACATGAGACCTTCTGCATCATCCTGCTGAGGATGGGCCACTGCCTTGTAAATATCGTGAACCATTTTGTTTTGACATCGGAAACACGGCAACAAAGAATTTTGTGACACAGTAGCGATTAGTGCAGCGTTGTACTCGACAAAAGGGTCATTCCGTCAAACCATACAGTCTGCATGTGCAAAATATGCAGTGGCCTTTCGACTTGTCAAGCCCTTTCGATGCATTTTTGGTTGCGGAAAAAAGAACAAAAGACAAGACTT